GAACTAGTTAAAGATTGTATGATTAAATGGGCACAGAATATTGGTGAAACGATTTCAATGGATACTTGGGAACTTATTTGGATAAGAAATGTTAAATTCACACAAGCGCAAAATTTAAGAGAGAATTTTTATAAGATGTTTTATAGATGGCACCTTGACCCAAAGAAAATGTCCATTATGTACCCTAATCTACAGCCGAAATGCTGGAGATGTGGATATTTGGATGCTACCTATTACCATATTTGGTGGACGTGTAAGCATATAAAAGCTTTTTGGATTAAGATATGGTGGAATATTCAAAGAATTTTTAAAAGGAGGGTAAAATTTACTCCGCAATTATTTTTACTAGGTATTGTTATTGACTGTGATGCTAAGGAGGTTATATTGATGTTAAATTTGATTACAGCCGCTAGGTTGTTAATAGGACAATATTGGAAGAAGGAATCTTTGCCTACTTTACAAGAATGGTTTCATAAAGTTTCGTATTTGGCAGAAATGGCAAAGATTTCGGCTTTCTTAAAGGAGCAATCTCAAGAAAAATTTTTTGCGGTATGGGAAAAATGGATAAATTTTATACAACATAATTTGGATATGGAAAAATATTATTTAGCCTTTTTATAATTTGTAATGATTGTTTTTTCTTTCTTTCTTTCTTCTTTTTCTTTTTTATATATATACATTTTTAATGTATTATTATTCATATATTTTTTTTTTTATATATATATATGCTTTATTTTTCGTCTACTTTCTTCTTTCTTCTTTCTCTCTCTCTCTTCTCTTTTTATTTTTTATTTTTTTTCTTTTTTAGTATATATTATTCATTTTAAAGTTTATGTTATGTATATTATTTCTATATATATTATTACTGTGATTTTTATTATTATTATTAATTATTTTATAAATTGCAAATGTTATTTTTAAAATATTTGTTAAATAATCCTATATTCAGTTCTGGGAAGTCGGGGGGGGGGTGGGGTGGTTGGGGAGGGGGGGGTGGATTTTTATTTGTAAAACTTTTGAAAAATTTCAATTAAAAAAAAAAAAAAAAAAAAAAAAAATAGCCAGGGAAATGATTGAAGCCCAGGAAATGGGCCCCTTCTCGGTCAACAGGAGTGCTGATTTACCAACAGCTTATCAACTACTTAGGAGCCAAGGGCTTGGTAGCACAAGGAACCACAGCCAATGACTTAATAGTTGGCCATCAACACTCTAATCAACAACTAAAAAGATACACATAACCAGGCACCACATAAATACTGCACATAGAATAGCCCAAAGCACACATTTTGCTAGAGAGAAGTTCCCTGAGGGTGGGCTCCAGCATGAGTCTAAAAGCTCGGAAGACTAAACCTCTGGTCGTAGTGACCAACCCAGATTGGGTCCTGCAATATTTTGCCTTGTTTAATGGACTTCCCAGGACATAAGAACCTTTTTTTATATATAGTCATTACTGCTGAGTACAATGTTACACCTCTGAAAGTGGCCAAAATCTGCCTAAGATCAGAAGTGAAATCTTGATGCAGCAGAACTATTCTGCTCCTGGATAAAAATATATCAATTGTTTCTTGCCTTTTTCTTTTCTTTTAATCAGCTTTTAAATAACAAAAAAATCCACGCATCTTTTCCTCTTTTGTTTTTTCTGTATTTTGATCTATGACTTAAACCAGATATGTCAAACACAAGGCCTGGGGGCCGGATGCGGCCCGCGAAGTGGTTTCATGTGGCTCGCGAAGCCATCCTGGAAGCAGTGAGAGAATGGCCCCTGCTGCCTTGGCCCGGGCCTAGGCCAGCCGGGAGCCAATGTACAATTTTGTGGTGGCCATCTATGCTGAAACATATTCAGTCTTAGCTCCACAAGGCCGTCTGGAAACAGCAAGGAACCAGCCCCTGCCACGTCAGCCCCGCCCCCTGGATGCATGCTGGGGAGGTGTCACCCTTTGTGAGGAATGAAGAAATGCACCATTGCCTGAAAGTAGCCAGCAAATGGCCCTTGCCTACTTCACCTATCCAGCTTGATGGGCTCCGGGGGAGGGGTTTTGGCAGGCAGTGGGGTGCTTTCCTTACAGCACCGAGGCTGACCAGGGCAGCGCAAATCCAAAAAGAAGTGCAACACCACCCAGCCCCCGGCCTGCCCGGTTTCGGCAGGCAGCGGGGCGCTCTCACAGCGCCAAGAGCTGAGCTGGGTGACGTGAATCTGATGAGAAGTGCAATGCTGCCTAGCCCCCAGCCTGTCCAGTTTCAGCAGGGAGCAAGGTGCAAAGCTGGTGAGCCTTGTACCTCCCGGTTCAACCTCTCGGCACTGTGAGGAAAGCGCCCCGCTGCCTGCCAAAACCAGGCAGGCTGGGGGCTGGGCGGCCTTATGCTTTTTTTCAGATTCGTGCCACCTGACTAAGCCTCTCGGCGCTATGAGAGCACCCTGCTGCCTGCTGAAAACGGGGGCTGGGCAGCATTGCGCAGGTAATGGGGGCTGGGCGGCATTGGGCAGCATTGTGCAAGTAATGTTGACTCTCACGCTGCTCATGGCAACCCCTCCCCCAGAGACCACCAAGCCATATATGTGAAGTAGGCAAGGGCCATGTGCTGGCCACTTGCAGGTGATGATGCATTTCTTCATTTCTCAGGAAGGGTGACACCTCCCCAGCTGAGTTTCTTGCCTGTTTTTCTCCCTCCTTCATCTCAAATATTTTCCCACCACTCTGTACTTAGAAAGGAAGGAAGGAAGGAAGGAAGGAAGGAAGGAAGGAAGGAAGGAAGAAAGGAAGGAAGAAAAGGAGACGGAGGGTCTGAGGGAACTCTTGCCTTAGTCCTGCCCTGCTGCCCTTTCACCATCCCCTTGTCCCCTCCTCCTGATCTATCCTGGGGGTTCTCCCATCCTATTGCTAAGGAAGCTTTGGATACAAAGCCAGGTCTACTCCCATGGAGAGGGAATGGGCCTCCCTCTGACTTTGTCCGCATACCCACCATGAGCAACCTGGCTAAGGAGAGCAAGCACAGCAGCAGCAGCCTTGAGGAGGAGGTAAGTGTAGCTGGGTGCCCCTTTGGGGAAGTGGGGCTGGGCTTGGTGCCGCGGGTGCTTGAGGGCCAGGCTGGGTGTTTGACCTCTGCTGCCCAGGATTCTGGACAGCCCGCACCACCATCCAGCCCACCTCCGCATAGCCTGAGAGGAATAGTGAGGCTCCTCCAGTGGACCATGCGTTGGCACTTGCCCTGGTCCCATCCCCTTCTGCCAAAGACCCTCAGATCTGTTCCACTCCTGCACAGGCCCCCACAGTCACCCTTGACGCGAATGATGTAGAGCTGGCCATGCCCACCCAGTAGGCCACACCTACTCCATCCATGCCCACCTAGTAGGCCATACCCACCCTGGCCACACCCACCCGTCCCCCCCAAGAGCAACCACAATGCTGATGCGGCCCACTGAGTTTGACACTCCTGTTCTAAGACTACCATGCCTTGACTGCAAAAACACACCCATTAGCTCAGGGCTTTTCCACCTTTTCACCCATTGTACCACTTTTAGGATATGGCAATATCTGAGTACCACCAGTCGCCTGGCAAGGTGTCAAAAACTTGATGACCCAAAAAAAAAAGGAAAAAAGTGATAAAGTACAGTAGTCCTCGACTTACAACAGTTCACTTAGTGACTGTTCAAAGTTACAATGGCACTGAAAAAAGTGCCCCCAAGCCACAGCTGAGCAAGATATGAGAGGAACAGTGAGGCTGAGAGGAACAGTGAGGCTCCTCCAGTGGACTATGCGTTGGCACTTGCCCTGGTCCCATCCCCTTCTACCAAAGACCCTCAGATCTGTCCTACTCCTGTCCAGGCCCCCATAGGCACCCTTGAGGCGAATGTAGAGCTGGCCACGCCCACCCAGTAAGCCACACCCATTCCATCCACACCCACCCAGTAGGCAGCACCCATCCTCCCCCCCCTCCCCCCCCCCCCCCCCGGCAACCGCAACGCTGATGCGGCTCTCAATGAAATTGAGTTTGACACCCCTGACTTAAAACTGAATAAATTAAATGTAATTCATGAAAAATACATGAGGAAATTACAATTTTGGGAAATAAGCTTCACTATATCTAATGTTAACTTTTTTTAAATAGCTTTTTTAAAATCCGAAAAGTCTTAAGCTTTTGCAACGATATTTAGAGGCGCGATTATTCAGATCGAAATTGCCTTATATTACTTTTGAATGGGTGCTAGCATAACCGCCCGGGAAAATGAATGAAACACTGAAAGTGACGCTCCAATAGGCGAAGTTATCAAACACCTCCCTCTGTTCGGGTTTTTCTTTGCAAGCCAAGTCTCCTCCCCTTTGCGCATGACTGGTAGCTTTAGCTATTTTAGGGACGGTACAGAAGTTTTTGCTCCTCCTGTCCGCTCTTTTGGCAACTAAACTTAACAAGTAATGGTTAATATGTTGGCATTTCGTTCATGGTATCAATTGGATTCCACATATGCGAAGCCAAAATGTGCTTCGTTTGCTAATGTTATCTTGATCTTGAGTGAAGCCACCCGTAGAAAAGTCTACAGCAAAAAACAGAGGAATTTCTTCATAAAGTCGTTGGGTTCATGGATTATGTGCCAGTTAAGTGCTTTTCGATTCCTAGTGGCTACATCGACAGATTTTCTCCGTGATGTTCTGGTCCCCAACTTGATCTTTCAGGTCTTGTATCTGTCCTTTGGCTTATCACTGCAAATAAAAAAGTGATATCAATGTCTTTAATTAAGCAAAACATACACAGGACTGTCATCAGATATTTTTTTGCTAACCTCAGCTTCATTGCTGGACTATAGTTCCCAATCTGTAAAATATGAATTAAGTAATCCAATAAGAAAATAGCGTCCCGTCCCGCGCGCGCTAATCGCCCCGCGGGGTCAGCCCAGAGCCCTAACCGAGCTTGCGGCTCTGCAGTAGAATTGCACGTTCTCTCTGGTCCCTAATCGAGGGGCGGGGGCGAATAAAGTGATGGCAGGGGGCAGGTCTGTTCTTGCGCATGCGCGGCTTGTGAGGTCCAGCGCTACAGCAGTCCTGCGGTTTCTTTTGGGCGAGGGCGAGAGCGAGAACGAGTGGCGACGGGCGACCGCGGAGAGGTGAGCGGGGCAGGGGCCGAAGAGCCGCCAGCGACTCTCTCGCGCCCTCGCGGGGAGGGAGAAGAGGAAGGAGAGCGGTGCCTTTAAAGCGGAGTTGCCAGGCAAGACGCGGGAAGTCAGATGACCCCCCGCCGACTCCTGTCTCAGTCGGGGGAAGGAAGAGAAAGGCGCCGTCTTGTTTCTTTTCCTTTTCCCGAGAGGGGACGGGGCTGTCCTTCCCTTTCCTCGGTGGTAGCAGGATTTTCCGGCCGCGCGCCCTCCTCGCCCATTTGTGCAAATAAATGCAGCGCGGGAGAATTAGTGGTAGAAACCTCCTCCGGATTGAAGGCACAATCGCCCCACCGGATGGAAAACGCAGGCAGGCAGGCAGGCAGGCAGACAGGGTGGCCCAATCTCGTAGGTTGAATCCAAGAACGGTTACAATATTCTCTGTCTCCTTCTCCCCCCTGCCCCCAACATAAGGATAAACATATTTGGTGGAAGGTATCACCTAAAAAGTGAATGGATATCCTCTTGAAGCCTGATCTACTATATTTCACTTTGGGAATGAATAATGTGAAGAAAAATCCCAAACTTTCTTTGCAATCCGTTCACTTTGCGCCTGACATTTGAAGTCTCACTTCATGATGGAGAGGTGGTGTCATTTTGCTCAGTGCTGCATGCATACCCACCTTCTGTTACCCAATGTGTTGTTAACAGCAGGACATTGGGAATCTTTCAACACTGTTAATTTTTTAACCACTTCTCTCAAATATGGATCAAAATAATCTTCAAGATTAGAAAACAGGTGGATCTCAACGTTTGATGGAAGAAACAGCATTCTTTGGAGATATTGGATAGAAGAATCATCTTGGGTGTAAGGAATAGACAGTTTTTAGTCCCTCAAAAGGCTGTCATTTGCACAGGAACATTCTTTGGCCAATGTAAAGTGTTTCATAAAATGTACTGCCTGAGTTGTAATCTCTACTGTTTAGGGCCCCGTACTTTTTTTTTTTTAACTATACTTTTCAGATGTCAAGTCTTTCTTCTATTTCTCTTTATCTCAACTACAACATGACGACTTCAGATTTGCAGTTTTCTCTTATTTCTTTAATGCAACTATGTACCATTTGCATCCATGTCTCCATTTTTCATAAACACTTAAGTTACTTTATTTTCAAGATTTATAATTGTGGGAGCCCTTGTTTAGTTGGGGAAAGAGTTACGTTTTAAACAGTAATAATGGGGAGTGATTTGATTGCCAGAACTTTGCAAAACTTTTAGGTAAAAATATCTATTCAAACCAGCTAATGTGTAGGTTAGAAGTATGCCATTAATACAGTCAATTTTATTTCAGACTCAAGCATTAATAGCAGCATTAGATTTTGTATTAGATGTACCATGTTACAAATTTAAGTATTTTTTGGCCTTGTGATTGAGATTGAGTAGTAGTTTGGAAAGACAACTGACATTTTGTTCTTCATATAATTTCATTGTGCAACCACAAAATCTGCTGAAATAGAGGGGCAAAGGTTGTATGTAAAGTAAGAAGTTGGCCTAACAATTGTTGGATGTTTCAGAGAAATATTTTGCAGGAACTTAGTTGACGTCCTTTATTTAAAGGTGGCCTTGGGAAAGGTTTTTGCAACAGGCCATAGTTGATAAATTACATCAGAAAGATAACTGTCAGGTTGAGTAAGAGGCATTTGAACATGTGTTTTGTTTTTCTTTAGGCTTTTAGGAACATCCGTCGTTGATGTTCTGTTGCAACATGAAGCAACTTGCAGTAATCATACATTAGCTAAATTGTTTAGTATAAATCATCTGTATTTTGTGGTATTAATTAACTGCTATCCTTGAAACTGCAAATAATTAAACTGCTTAGTGTTCAAGCATTTGAACTTTGTTCTTCTAATAAGGACATCTGACCTGCTGGTCTTTTTTGTTATATTTACAGATGTAAGAATGTCTAATTGCCATGTATAATGCTAAATATTCATCAAGAACATTTTGAAAAATGCTTGCTATATTGAAATTGGTAACATACTGTATTTACTAAGGGATTACAGGATCACTAAAGGGAATCATTGTGTTTTACTTGAAGATAATTTTTGCTTAATCCCCAAAATACTTGTGAATTGGAGAATTGTCTTGTGTTTATCAAAACAGTGATGTAGAAGATTACAGAATGTAGAATATTTAGTTGAAAGCAAAGAAATGGATTACAGGTACACTGACTGATAATAGGACAGAAGTACAGAAGCTTCAGGAGGGATAGTATTGAATGTGTTATCTAAATCCTCATTTGTTACCCTCATTTGCAGAAGGTGAGTGTTTGTTTTGGAGAGCCTCTTCAACCCATGTGGATTAGAACTCTTGGAAATTGTGGTCTCAGCTGATGAACTTGTCCATTGCAGAGACTCTTCTATCTTCCACTACTTTCCCCCCAACTTGTATGGAGTAAGATGAACCGAACAGATCCATCCTCAATATAGCACAAGACTTTTGAAAGAGAAACTTCACAATGTGTACCCCAAATATGAAGCAGCTCTTTTTGAATCATTAAAGCAGCCACATTGTTTCAAAAAATGGCTTTGGAAGCTGCTCCTGATTGTCTCTCATGTGCAAAATGCATGCACATGGATGTAAAGGCAGCAAAAGCTGCTTCCAGAGTTAAAACAACTGCTTTAATATTTTTAAAAGAGCTGTTTCATATACACTTCCATTTGTGGGGAACATCTCTTTGAAACATTTTGCACAGCCATCATGCATGCATGCATACACACACAGAATCAGACTGAGCAAATCGAACTTGGTTAGATTAAACTTTATTATATGAATAAAATTGCAACTGTCAATCTTTCCACCAAGTTCTTGAACAATAATTAATAATCTTCATTTTCTTTCTTTTTTTTGATATTGATTGCAGTGCTGTTCCTTTTATATTTTTCTTATTGCCTCTCTATTTAAATAAACTATTTTTCCTGTAGTCTGCACAAACTTCACAAATAGTGACAAAGTATTAATTGATATTATATATTTCATATTGATGAGATTACCAGTTCAATTGAATTTCACAGTACCACCCTCTTTTTGTTGAGCTTTTGTTCCAACTTTTTTAGAATCATCTCCATTTTTTCAGTGGCATTCATGGAACAATAAGGGAACAATTTGAGCCTCCTCTTTAGTGCTGATAATCATCAATCAGATTGGGATCTCCATCCTCTGCAGAGTTATAACCAAGATTATATAAAGCATGAGACATGCTAAATGATAAATTTTGACTATCTTGTCATTCTGAGATGTAGATCCATGCTTTTCATTGAATCTTTTTCAGATTAACTTCAATTCTTGCATGGCTTCATAGTCACAGAGGTTCTATGCCTACTTTACTTATCCAATTGTATTCATCATTCTCCCACATAGGTTGCTGTGTTCTGCCATTACCACCATTGAACATGTAAATCTCATTTTTTCAAAAAAAGACATGGAAGTTCCGATCTTGTCAGATAATCACTGACTACTCAATATATCTTTTGCTATCCCAAGAAGATTGACAGGCTTTCTACTTTTATTAGAAGACAATCCCTTCAATTTAATGTCCTCTCTCCTGACCATTCAAGTCTGTAGATAAATATTGGAACTCCAGTTTATCTCTGTCTGAAACCTGTCATTTATTAACAAATCCCTTCCATGTTTACATTGTCCATTATAAAGAACTGAAAAATAGTCCATTGCTGTGAAGTTGGCTTCTGTGTAGCTTTTCTTGATCACTCTAGCTTTCCATGGAAACTGGGAAGTATGGGAATTTCAATATTGGAGATATGCAGGTAGAATAGAAGGAGGGGTCCCTGTTAAGTTCCTGCTTCTGGAACTTTCTTAATGAGATTTTAGACAAGTGCAGAAAGCCATATATACAACTACATAGATAATTACTAAAAGAATAATAACTATTTGAAAAACACTTGTTTTTCTGGATCTTGTCCCATATGGTAAAATAACCTGCAGTATCTTTACCCCTTTTTTGTTTTTGTTGCTGAAAAACACAAATTAGCATACCCGGTTACTCTGAATGTTGAGATTGGTTACAATACTTGGTTACTTAGTTTTTAACAGCGGTACTAAAAGATTTTAGAACATAGGAAAGAAGTGTTCTATATGGAACAACTTAGTACTTTTTATAATAGTATCATAGATCAGTATTGTGCTCCCTGTAGGTAACATCTTTTAATATATAATTTGTATATGCTAAATCCTATGTCATATATTTATATCGGTACCTATATGGAAAAAAGGGCAGGATCCCAATGCATTAAAATCTGGACCTAGAATTTTTTTTATTGGAACACATCACATTTTCTACCAATGATTTTACTCTTATGTTCAAAATTGTTGTATAGTGTGTACATGTAAAGCTCTTGTTTTTTCACGATTCCCTATAGTTTACTGCCCTTTAGCCAAGTTAGGAGGCCTTCCTGATACTGCATCTGTTATGTGAGCTAAAGTATTATTGTTTCCGGAATTGGAATTTGAATTCAACAATTGGCAAATAACATGCCTAGCCTCAGGCAAATTTCCAAATGTGGTTAAAAACCATTCTCTTCCCTTTACAACAGCTGGCGGTGCATCTAACCCCATTTAACCTTTTATAGGGGAGTAGCATGTCATGTGAACCAATCAGCTAATGTGTTTGATGCATAGCTTTGTCCTTTTTCTTTAACTAGTTTCTGTTATTGTATCTGTTTAATATAGTGACACAGAGAGAATATTTGTGATCTGGCCAGTAAAGTTATGAGTGCTTTTCATATTATTCCTAAATGATAGTGTAAAGGTTACAAAACTTTATTAATTGAATAAGAGTCCAGTGCCATAATTTATATTGGCATTTACATTAAATATATAAGTTGCCAAATAGTAGACAGCTTAAGTAGACAGCTTAAGTCTCTCGCTTGGGTATTTCCCATTTTTTTTTTGTTTCTTTCTCCTTCCCTTGCTTTTCATGCTACCTCCTGCTGTGATGAAACAGGCTGAACATTTTAAAGCTTCTGGCATTTGAATTAGTATTGGAAAAAGTAAATAAATTGATAAAATAAAATTTTCTATCTTTGAGATTATTTGTGAAGTAAGCAAAGCAATTTTCACTGTCTGAATTTGTGTTTGGAAATTGTTGATCCACAAATGTGAGAAGTCTCACAAATGTAGGGGATATTTCTTAATACCTTTAATGTTACAATCACTGTACATTTAGTAATATTAATAAGAATGTTATGATTGTGTGACTTGGACTTATTACAAATTATCACTATAAAATATCTGATTTTTTGTTCTGCAAACTCATTATAAAAGAACTAGAAAAAGTAAGTTTTAGTAATGTTTTGTTATTGCCACTTGATTCCAGTAATTGGTCAGATCAAAATATTGCATTCATACTTACTAAAAAGAACAAGTCCAGCAAAACCTTGTTTACTGGATCTCAGTGCAATGGATTTTGCATGTAACACACCAATTTCTATTGTGATTTGCCTCATTTGTGCAGTAATACCATTACACAAAATATGCAAATTGGCAGAAATAATGTAAATCCTTGCAATGCTCTAATTCCAATTTCAGCAGACTTTTCTTAGTAATGCATAGATTCTCACCCCAATCAGTCTATTAAAATGAGGTTTCATTGTAAACATAAAACAGACATGCTCTTTGCCATTTCTCCAATGAGCTAAAAAAACATTTAACATAATATTAAATGTAGAAGACAAAATCTGGAGCCATTTATATCCAGCTTTTGACTCTTAGATCTGTATAAAATGCTGTACAGATTGAACAAAATAAGTCACAAAGTGAAAAGTTTTTAACAATATTATTCCATTTTTATAATCTATATATGTGTTCCATATATAAACAATGGCATGTACATTTTATTAACTTAGTAAAAATGTAATACCTGAGTAGATAACAATAGAAAATCTCTGAAAATATTTTACAGAAGGAATAATCAATTATTTAATAGTGATAATGTCAAAAGCAATGCAATAAAAATAAGTTGCCAAGTTAATTAGTATGTTTACACATTTCTGTATTTATCTGAAGCTATTTACAGATGCATAAACTTTAAAATAGATTTTTGTAATTTAAGAAAGGTGCCATGGATTACAGTAGCTTATAATTAAGAATTTTAACTGGCTGCCCGCCTGTACTGTTATGTACTTATCCCACTGACTTATAAAAGTATGCGAGAGTTCAGGCAACCTTATTTTTAGGTTGTATCTTTGACATCATTTAAAAAGAAGCAATCATATCTTTAGAGCAAATAAAATTTCAGAAGAAATAGTTATGATTCACCATGAGATTAAGAAATAAGAGGATAAATAAGAATATACTGTAAATGTTTTTTACATATAGGTTTCCAGACAAGTATACTTTTTTTTAGATATACTGATCGTAAGGCTTAACACACTGAAGTATGAATTCCAAAAGTTTGCTGACATTTCTAGGTTTTCTTGTGTTTTAGTCAACTAGCTCAGGGGTCCTCAACCCCTGGTATGTGGACCAGTACCAGGCCGCGGCATGCCAACAGTCGGTCTGCACAAATAAGCAAAGCCCCATCCACTGGATGCAGGCAGCACACAAACCACACACCTCCAGTCCGTGGAAAAACTTTTCTCCATGGAACCAGTCCCTGGTGCCCCAAAAGTTGGGGACCTCTGAACTAGCTAATTTAAATTGTTTTTATCAGGTATTTGTGGATATTCCCAAATACTCTTGTCTTTAAAAAGAAAGCATTAGACAACACTTCAGAAATATGTATTTGTGTTAAATAGAGTTTTTTATTTGTTTTTCCCCCCATAGTTTATTAACTTTTAAAGAAAATCAATCAGTAACAATGACTACTTCATGGAGTGACCGGCTACAAAATGCAGCAGATCTTCCTGCAAACATAGATGGCTATGCTCTGAAAAAGTACCGTCGGGAAGCATATCACCGGTAAGCTCTTTCTACAGTTAGAAGCATATCTTTAATATACTGCAGGAAAAGCTCAAATCCTAAATACACATACAGCTCTATTGGTTCACACAGCCTAATTTCAAGAAAGAAATTAGCATCCTTGAATGTTGCTAAAATTTGATCATGGGATGAATGAAAGAAAACAAACGAGATTACATCCAGACAGGATGGAGGTACTGATAGTAAGGAGGAAGCTGGACTCAGGGAATGAGATGAATCCTTGTTTTTATGTGGTTGCATTTCCCCAGAAAGAGCAGATTTGGAGTTTGCGAGTACTTTTTGGACTTGGTGATAGTTATCCACAACCCTGGTTAATTCTCATTTTGACTACTGCAACTTACTTTATATTAGACTGTCCCTGAAAGTTGCAGCAACTAGGCTGCTGACAGGTGCAAGGTGCAGAGATATGATGTCTGTACTAAAATATCTCACTGATTGCCAGTTGTCTACTGTCAGAGTTTAAGGCGATGATGTTAACACTTAAAGTCTTAAGCATCCTAGGGCCTATTTGGGGGAACACAGTCCTATTACAAATCTCCTGATTACTTAGATGAGCAGGATCTCCTATTCTCAGGTTCTGATTTTTTTCTGGATTGCTTCCGATTTCCTTTTACTTCCTTCTGTTTCTCCTAGATTCTCTAGCAATGTTACTTGTGCTCTTGTGCAAACTCACAATTGAGCAGTTTTGGTCAAGCAAGGCTTTATTATATCAAATGCCATTGTGACTTTTGCAGATCTATTAGCAGAAGTTTGAAGAAAGGTAGATAGAATCCTAATTCAGTCTGCATAACTTTCCCTTTAGTTCTTTCACAAGGGAAGATAGGTGCTATTCATTTATTCTCTCCCCAAATGACAGATAACTGGATAATGAAAAGTTTAAGATGAATTGAGACTAATGTATTGTTCTGAAACATTATTAACAAACAGGGAAAAGATATAAAAAGTTATAGTATATCATAAATATACTTTGTTAGAATAGAAGGGAAACAACCAGATTGAAACTATTACAGGTGATAATGAAGAAACAGTTCAATTTGTTTTGTCATTCCTATACTATTTTTGCCTGTTCTGAATTTCAAAAATAGTGTAGCCATCCTTGGATGAAGGAAAAATTAATCAGACTTGGAGGATGTAATGGAAACTATTTTTTCAAGCTGTGCTTAGTCAATGCCACCAATGTCAAGGCAACCCTCATTGCTGTAGCACATTGCTAAACATTCCATAGAAGTTTTACAAATATAGATAACAGGCAGCTTATATAAGGGAAAAAAATCAAACAGTTATCCAAAACCAATAATTTCTTGTGATGAGTATAATATTGAATAAGTACTAAATGAATGAGGAAAGCCTTGAGACAAAATGTAATGTTTAATTTTACAACTTAATTATAATAACATTTATAAACTATCCAGAATTGCTGGGAGTTGGGCAGCATGTACAGATAGTCCTCAACTTACAACAGTTAATTTAGTGATCGTTCAACATTACAATGGCATTGAAAAAAGTGACTTATTCTGAAGTACACTGAGTCTTCTTTCTGTTTTATCTTTAATGTCAATCTGTCCATTTCTGCACAGTCTAAAATTTTCTTAATTAGTTGTTTTTCCGTTGGTAAGTTTTCATTTTTCCAATATTGGGCAAATACAATTCTTGCTGCAGTTAATACATGTAAAATTAGATATATACAATCTTTCTTGTGGTTTCCTCCTATTATGGCTAACAGAAACAGTTCTGACTTGAAATCTATATGTTTTTTAGTCATTTTTTTCCAACCATATGTGTATTTTTGACCAAAATCTTTTAGTTTTAGGGCCACCAGATACAATAATAAGTACCTGGTTTTTGTTTTACATTTCCAACACTTGTTTGATGTATTTTTAAACATTTTCGCTAATCTCACCAGTGTTAGATACCATCTGTAAAACATTTTGTATAAGTTTTCTTTGTAAGCCACCACTTCGTTAATTTAGCATTTCTTTCTCATAATCTTTGCCAGCTTTCTAATTCTATATTATGTCCAAAGTTCTTTGCCCATGTTATCATTGCTTCTTTTACTTGTTCCTCTTCCATCTTTAAGTTTAGCAAATATTTATAGAGTTTCTTAATCATTTTTTTCATCTGTTTTTAGCAGTATCTGGTCAAATTCTGTCCTTTATAAAATCCTACTGTTTTAGCATCTTTTTCATATCTCGTTTGAATTTGCAAGTATGGCCACCATGATAGATCGATACCTTGCTCTTGTAAATCTTATCTCTCTTTCAATTTCCTTTCATTGTCCAAAATATCTTTATAGGCCATAACTTTCTCATAATTGATTAAATTTGGGTAAGCAAATGCTTCCATTGTTGAAACCCATCCAGGTATTTTAATATAGATTTGCAATTTTTACCAATGGCTAGAAAAGCAAGTTAGAGAGAAAGGAACATGATATGTACTATGTAACATTGAATATATACTAGTAAGAACGATTAACTAACATATTGATTATGATAATATAGATTAACTCTTACTGTTTTTTAAATACATGAACCCAGACAATATGCTGTTTGTTAAATATTAAGAATGTTATTTTAAAAAACTCCAACCCTAATCCTAGTCCTAACCCTACAAAATTAATAAAATATATACAAAAAAACCTTGCTTTTGCTGAAACTCATGTATGTATGTATGTATGTATGTATGTATGTATGTATGTATGTATGTAAATAATTTGGAACCACCAGGAGGATCCAAGTAAGGAAATACTTTATTAAAACCGAGCTTTCGTTGGGAACTTCCAACATCGTCAGGGTTAAAAGCCAGTTAACAAAGATGACTTAAATATATATATATATATACATACATACATACATACATACATACATATGTTGACTAGCATAAAATGCACAAACACCAGGAAATTTATAAAACTATAAAAGTTTTAATAAGATAAAATACCAAGCTTTTGCTGGCTACTGCCAGCATTGTCAGGATAACTTCCTGTCGATGGGGGAAGCTATTTATGGATATAGCGCTCTTTGCACCCAGCTCCTGGACCTTGTCAGAGGTCCCAGCCAATTCACCTGTGCTTTGATCGCTTCCCTCTTTCCATGGTCCCTTTTCACAGCTACATCCTGAAAAAGGACCATAGAAAGAGGGAAGGTGGGAGAATGGTGATGGGGAGGGCTAGGAAAGAAGGTGAGGAGGGGAGAAAGGGTGGTGATATGTATACAAGCAAGGAAAACAAGGAAACAACGGCTAGCAACACGGAAATTACGATCAAAGCACAGGTGGATTGGCTAGGACCTGTGACGAGGTCTAGGAGCTGGGTGCAAAGAGCGCCATATCCATAAATAGCTTCCCCCATCGACTGGAAGTTACCCTGATGATGCTGGCAGTAGCCAGAGAAAGCTTGGTATTTTATCTTATTAAACTTTTATAGTTTTATAAATTTCCTGGTGTTCGTGCATTTTATGCTAGTCAACATGAATTCACCCAGGAATCACCTTTTTGTTTTTAGTATTCTTAATTACGTGTATATATAAAAAATTACATTAAAAATTGAAGAATAGCGATTCCTGGGTACATACATTTCAGTAAAAAAGGAAGTGATCACTAGGAAATAAAACACCAAGGTTTTAATAAATAAAATCAAGCTTTCGATGGCTAACATCTGCCATCATCGTCAGGGTACAAGCCAGCTAGTGAGGAAACCTGCTTATAAGCATAGCCACACCTAAACTCTACGCATGGACCTTGTAACAGGTCCAAGCCAACTAATCCTTACTTCACTTACAGCCTTCAGTGATTCTTTCTTTTAGCTCTTACTTACATCCACACAGCCACCCACTTCCCCCCTCCCTTTAGTTCCTGAGTAATATAGGCAACATGTGTTTCTCAAAATTAAAGGGTCCTCTGCACTATTGAGTTGATTCTTCTTCCTCTGTTCCTTGGGACGTTTCTCTCCTCCACTCCTCCGGCACGCATCGCACTCATTTGCATTCTTCAATCCTGTCACTCCTTCAACCCCCCCACAATCCTTGCCACCAATCTCATCCACACTTTTATTTCCCCCCACTGTTCCCAGTGTATCGCATCCTCCGTGCTCCACCTTCGTGCCATCTGGTGCAACTCTCAATCCGGTTGCCTCTCTTTCAGTCTTCCGTAACGCCGCTCTCCGGGAGCGTGTGACCACCCCCATAACGGGGCGGCTGTAAGTATTGATCTTCTGTACATCCATTGAAGGCATGTCTCTGTCTCGGTGGTTCTGATCGGTGCGGCCACATAGCAAAGGTGTTATTCTGCCGTCGCTCGTAGTAGGTGTTGCCTTTTTAAAATTCCTATCCATTTCCAAGTCACCAGCGACCAGGTGAGTTGTAGCGGGGGCACCATTGGGGACAGTGGAGTCGATACGGTCACTGGGGTAGCGAGTTTGTTTTATGTTAATTGGGACACTTGTTGTTCTTATTCTTGAGTATTGGGTACAATACAGTATGACTCAGGAATTAAAGGGAGGGGGGAAGTGGGTGGTTGTGTGGATGTAAGTAAGAACTATAAGAAAGAATCACTGAAGGCTGTAAGTGAAGCAAGGATTAGTCGGCTTGGACCTGTTACAAGGTCCATAAGTAGAGTTTAGGCGTGGCTATGCTTATAAGCAGGTTTCCTCACTAGCTAGCTTGTATTCTGACAATGATGGCAGGTGCTAGCCATTGAAAGCTTGATTTTATTTATTAAAACCTTGGTGTTTTATTTCCTGGTGATCGCTTCCTTTTTTACTGAAATAAATATATATATATTTATACCCCCGCTGGCAGTTAAAAGGAGGAAACAGCTACAATCACACATTGCTCCTAGAAGCACGAAGCCGAAAGCACCAGTCTGAAGATGACAAATGAGACTTCGTCGAAACGTCGCGAAGACACTTCCAATTTTACGTGAGAGAAAACCTGAATAACCAAAGACATATATATATATATATATATATATATATATATATATATATATATATATATTTTTCTGAGGTTTTCGCGGGTGTTTGTATGTAGGTCTTTGGTTGTTCGGGTTTTCTCCCGCGTAAAATTGGAAGTGTCTTGGCGACGTTTCGACGAAGTCCCATTCGAGATAGAAAAACGCCCATACAGCATGAACAAGCAAGATGATACCTCCCGCCTACCAGGCATTTGGAAACCCGCCCTTATTGACAAACGACTCCCTAACACAAAAAATGATACCAGACCCACACTCACAAAAACCACACAGGATGTCACCACCACACATCCACGCAAAAAACAAACCCAAAGCCACACCGATGATGAGGCACGACCACAAACCAGAAGCCAGACCACAGCTGCATCATTAGCCACTTTAAACCCCTCCAATCCATACATGAAGCAAACTGACACCCTCCATGAAGAGGAGGCACGACCACGAACGCGAAGCCAAAAAATAGCAAGGCAGCCCAAAATCTTAAACCCCTCTGCAACTCAGACTAACCTGAGCACAACCAAACAGAACACTCCCCCAGCCAATCAGAGCACAGCCAAGCCCCTAACCAATCAGAACACACCTCCACCCAATCAGAACACAGCCAAGCTCCCACCCAATCAGTTCATACCCCCACTGGCAGTTAAAAGGAAGAAACAGCTAAGACCACACATTGCTGCTCGAAGCACGAAGCTGAAAACACCAGCCTGAAGATGACGAATGGGACTTCGTCGAAACGTCGCCAAGACACTTCCAATTTTACGCGGGAGAAAACCCGAACCAACCAAAGACCCATATATATATATATATATATATATATATATATATATATATATATATATATATATATATATATAAAAGCCTTTTATCTTACATCCCAGAGCTCTTTATTTTTATCTGATTGACTTTATATATACGTAGGTCTTTGGTTATTCGGGTTTTCTCCCCCGTCAAATTAGACGTGTCTTGGCGACGTTTTGACGAAGTCCCATTCATCATCTTCAGGCTGGTGTTTTCGGCTTCTTGCTTCTAGGAGCAATGTGTGATCGTAGCTTTTTTATTGCTCCTAGAAGCAAGAAGCTGAAAACACCAGCGTGAAGATGACGAATGGGACTTCGTCGAAACGTCGCCAAGACACTTCCAATTTGACGCGGGAAAAAACCGAAATAACCAAAGACCTACATACAAACACCCGCAAAAACCTCAGAATATATATATATATATATATATACTGTATGTGTGTGTGTATATATATGTTTTCTGAGGTTTTCGCGGGTGTTTGTATGTAGGTCTTTGGTTATTTGGGTTTTCTCCCGCGTAAAGTTGGAAGTGTCTTGGCGACGTTTCGACAAAGTCCCATTCGTCATCTTCAGGCTGGTGTTTTCAGCTTCGTGCTTCGAGGAGCTGAATTTCGTGCTTCGAGGAGCTGAATTCCAATTTTACACGGGAGAAAACCCGAATAACCAAAGACCTACATATATATCTTCTTGCTGAAACTTGCTATATGTATTTTTAAATTGTGTTTGTTTTAAGCAAAATGATCATGCAAATTTGTGCATTATCCAAGAAAAAAAAGAAAGAAAAAAGTGACTTATGACTGTTTTTCACAGTTACGACCTTTGCAGATCAAAATTCAGATGTTTGGACACTAGTTCATACTTATGATGGTCACAGTGTCCCGGGGTCATATGATACCCTTTTGCGACCTTCTGACAAGCAGAGTCAATAGGGAAGACAGATTCACTTAATAACTTATTACTAACTTAACAACTGCAATGATTCACTTAACAACTGTGACAAGGGGCCAAACTCAACAAATATGTCACTTAACATAAATTTCAGGCTCAATTGTGGTCGTAAGTCAAGGGCTACCTGTATATATTAAATAACATTCATTTTCCTTTTTATTCAAATAATTTTATTAGAAATTACAAATTGAAAAAAACTAATTAGATTACAAAAATATAAAAACAAAAAGTATGAAAAAGTAAAATGGAACTTCACCCTTCATCACAACATGTATTAACAATTTTGGTAACTTATTCTGAAAAGCTCTGAGCCTCAGCATTTTAGAATACTGAAGCTAAGAGCCTTTAGCATTTTGACCCCTGGAATCCATCTCTTTTCCTAATTTCTTTCTCCTGTCTGGAGGAGAAAGACACTTGCGAAGCCAGCATTCTGAAAGTCTCTACTCGGATTTCAAATGGTGATCACATGATTGCAGGCACTTGACAACCAATCATAAATTTGAACAGACCTAAAATGTGATCATGTGTCTAGAGGGAGGGTGGTATGATGTTTTACCATAACCATCAGGACTACGAATGCTTGTTAAACAACTGTTTATAAGTCAAGGACTATCTGTATAAAGTTGTTTAAATGGGGCCATATATTTATCTTTCCAGTGTTGCAATATCAATTGTGTGTATGTGTGTGTATTAACATTATAATTGTAAGCCACTCAGAGTTACTTTGTGATAAGATGGGGACCAATACATTTTATAAATAAATAATCATGGAGAATCAATTTATGTTCTCCAGTTGTCAAATTCCATGTACTAGGTATAAAATTCAAATGAATATTATCCTTGGAAGATTTTAGCTTTTGTTGCAGTCACGTTTTTAAGTCTACTACTTTCTTCCCAAATATTTTTACAAATACATTGTAAAAATAAGCGCTTTAAAGAAGCATTGTTCTTATTACATTTCCAACAAAATGCTGTTTTAGACATGCTTTTTCTATACAAAGATAATGGAGTCCAATAAAGTCTAAATATTTTTTAAGCATGTTGCTGTGCTTTAATGGAATTAAACAGTACTAAATAAAATTGGTATACATCCTATATTTTCTTTTCCAGACTAATAAATATTTGCAGCTGAAATAGCTTTCTACAGTTATTTTCAACTGTTCTTAAAGCTGGTATTCATGACATCTATATTTCAAGGAGTGCAATCTTTTTTTGTATATATTATTATTTATTGTTTTATCATAGAGAGAAAAATACAAAACAGTAAAGCAAACAAAGCAAAAGCATACATTCAACCCTAACAATAACAAAAAAAGAAGAAAAATAGTGTACAAAAAAAGAAAAGAAAAAGTGGTTAATTAAATTTAACATTTAACATGTAGGATCCATCCTGGCTGGGTGCTGCAAGAAAAGAAAAAGCAATAAATTATCTTCCCTTTTTGTATGTATGTATGTACGTGTGTGTATAATATATAACCCTTATAGGAATCTTCAGTAAAGATTATTAGAATAACTAATTATCTGTTTTACCTTGATCAAATAAGCCAACCCTGTGTTCCTTCTCTGTTTTTAAGAAGCTTGATTTTTTTAACCTCTTTCAGATAAGATTCTAAAGCTTGAATTCTTTTCAGCTTTTTTTGTCTCTTAAGGAACCTTCCAAAACTATAACATATCTGATTTATAGATCCAGTAATTTTTTTGTCACTGTAAATTTTTTTCCAAATGATCTAGTTAAGATAATTAATCTATTAATTAAATTCATCAGACAGCCCAGTATAACTCTAGTAGCTTACATAATACAATAATAAACACACTATGAAATTACAGAAATAATCAAAAACCAAGGGGAAAAAAGAATTATTAAAAAAGTAGAATAACAAAAGTAGAAAGGTCAGTTGCCCATTCTAACCCAAAGCCCGGGGACAGAACAGAGCATGGGCCATGATAGAGAAGACCCATTTGGGTGATCCTACCCAATGGCATTGTTTAATTGATAGAATCTGGAGACAGTGACTCTTGACTGACTTTGTGTAACAACTATGGAAAAAAGTTAGTCTCTAAGATAAACAGGCCCTATGCTAGGAATAGGTTTATAGGTCATGATCAGAACTCTGAATTGCATTGGAAGCCCACTGGCAGCCAGTGCAGCTGTAAAAACAGAGGTGTCCCTTAATTGGGTGTTGTAATAGTTCAATTCTGAGGTGACTAAAGAATGAGTGAGTGTCTTAAGGACCTCCCAGTGTAGATACGGATGCAACTGCTGCACTAGATGAATTTGTGCAAAGGCCTTCTTGGCCAGAGCTGCCACCTGCTGCTCAAGTTGCACACCAATGCTGAAAAAAGTGCAGTCCCATTCAGGATTAAAGATGGAACCTCTCCAGACATGGGGGATCCAAACATTCCAAGCCACTCAGTCATGTCAGGATTGAACCTATGCCTGTTTTCCTCAATCTAGACTGATGCAGTTTCCAGACATTAGAAC